GGGGGGGGGGGGGGGGGGGCCTAACCTAAAAGAAAAAAGGAAAACAGCAAATCCCGGGTTGTAACAATGCACCATTCAATGCATTTCATGCCTGTGCTCTACATATCAAACTGTAGTGTGGAAGAACAACTTATGTTGCACGATACTCTACCAGAGAGGGGCAGATGGAAGTAAAGAGGGATCCCATGGCAAATATGATACAGTCGACACTTCTCAACTGTTCCAAGACAGTGGGATTTACAGTGGGGAAGACCTGTTCAAAGGGCAAAAGAACCAATGAATATCAGCAGTCAGTAGATCATCAACAGATAAACAAGCTTTCCATGAATCAATACTGTTACAAAAGCACGAGGCTCCAACATAAAATGTTGACGGACTTTTTTTACGCTTTGTTATTACATTCAATGTTAGATCAAATTGTAATTACAATTATTTTGGGGAAATCATTTTTTTGTATTCATCATTTGACCTTTTCAAATGCTACAAAATATTTCCTTGTATGGTGATATTAGGAATGTCAGTAAGTCTCCTTTCCAAGTTTCCAAGTTTTATTTCAATTTACAATTATTTTTCAGTTCTCCGCCAGAGACCTTTTATTTACCTACAAAACTACCATTTTTATAAAAAAATTAAAATTAATTTTTAAATTTACATTATTTCACTGTATTCATCATTTGACCTTTTAAAATAATAAAAGAATTGATTAATTCCTCGTATGTGACATTAGGAATGCAGTAAATCTCATTTCCAAGATTTCAAGATTTTTATTCCAATTTTTTCAGATTTTTAGCATGATAAAGAGAAGCAACAATTTATTTATTTTTTTGGTTACATAAAGCTTTCAACAAGGTGAATGAGGAATTGAACTTCCACAATCCAAAGAGCATATAGTATGATGTTCCTAAAATCCAAAGTTAGGATTGGACAACCATTGGAGACAAATGATTGATAAATATATTTTTTTCCTTCCTCGGGCAACAACAGTTTGAAGACGAGGGTTTAGCTTTAAGAACCTATCAGAAAGTATATATCCTTTTTTAAATTTTTTTTTTTTTTTTAAAAAAAACACAGCGGATTATGGTAGAGTTCAAGTATCGTCTGTCTTTTCATTGATAAGAACAATAACCATATATACCTCATGCAATAAGTTGCTTCCTTCACTGGACATGTAGAATATCCGCTTTATTCTAGAAGAAAGTGCTGGGACCGAAGATGCGTCCTGTCCGACAAGGTTCAAAAAGTGAACTTGGGTGACCAACCTACTGTACACACTTTAGCAAAAAATGAAATAACAAGTAGCCAAATTTATTGTATACCCAACACTTTCCATATTTTGTGGCACATAATAGACTATTCAACAGTCTCTCTTCCTTCATAAGGTAGGGGTAAGGTCTGTGTACACATTACCATCCCCAGACCCTACGTGTGAGATTGCACTGGGTTTGTTGTTGTTGTTGTTGTTGTAATAGACTATTCAACAGAGGTATAAAACTGACATATCTAGCAAAGGTAAGGACCATGACCATGTTAGGTCTTTGGACTATATCTCAACATGAACCACCAGTCCCTAGGAGCTATATGCAGGGTACTCACTAATTGCTCCAGGCCGAAGTGCAAATCCACAAACTTAATCCTTTGAAATCACCCAGCAAAATCAATTTAACATCCCGAACTACTACACCAAAGCCCTTCTATACAGACTCCCAAGTGCAATATCTATGAAACATATCCAAAACAGCTATGTCATACTTTAAGCAGTAAAATTATCTACAACACACAACCAGATAATGAATAATCCTTACCATTGCACCATCAAATGAATCAAAAAGTAAGTCCCAGATGGGTTATCAAAATATATCAGGGATTTCTGATTTGAGAATAAATTATGATAACAAGGTTTGACAAAAACATCCCATTTCAGCAGGGAACATAGCAGCTCCTTTTAGGAAGATGGCATTTATCGTGGTTATAATTTATGTTAGGAATATTAAATTATAATAATAAACCTTGCAAGAAGTATCTGTTTTGAGAAAATTTTAAGGGAAAAAAGAACAATAAAAAGAAACAAAGAACAGTACAAATCAAGATTAAAAATTGTGGTTATACCTTGTCAATAGGTTGCATGGATCCATGGGTTGGATGAGATATTTCATTCTGTCCGCGTATAACGGTTCCATCCTACACATCAGTTATGTGCAACAAGGAATATTTTAAACTGCAGTTGCAAGCCAACATCCACTAACTACATTATTTGTAACTCCCCCATCTGATCAAAGGAGATTCATACTAATGGCTTAACGAGCAGTGAGCATAGGAACAGATTTTAAATTTGTCACTTTCTGTTCAAAGTCTGATTTGTTAGTAGGATCATCTCATCCTGAATTCCTAAAGAAATTCAACTTCATCACTTCTGAGATAAATTACAAGGTGCTATTCTTGGGTAGGATTTAGAACTGCTCCTTGACATCATTGTTTAAGATGACTTTTGAGTCAAATTATGAATACTTCTCGTGATTACTACCTTATGTGTGGATTATAAGTGTGAGAAAGCACAGGAGAAATTATATTATTGATGTATTAACATATGTTACAATGAGCCCTATATATACACACATAACATGTCCTACTCCTAATATATATTGGATTAGGGTTATTTATTTACTCCTATTTACATGACTATTCTAACACTCCCCCTCAAGCCGGTGCATATAAATCATATGTACCGAGCTTGTTACATATGTAGTTAATACGAGGACCAGTGAGGGACTTGGTGAAAATATCTGCAAGCTGATCATTCGACTTCACAAACTTTGTAGCAATATCTCCCGAGAGTATCTTTTCTCTAACAAAGTGACAATCAATCTCAATGTGTTTAGTTCTCTCATGGAACACTGGATTTGACGCAATATGAAGAGCAGCTTGATTATCACACACAAGTCCCATCTGACTAATCTCACCAAATTTCAACTCCTTGAGCAACTGTTTGATCCAAATTAGCTCACATGTCGCCATAGCCATCGCTCGATATTCTGCTTCTGCACTAGACCGAGCAACCACATTCTGTTTCTTGCTCTTCCAGGACACCAAATTTCCTCCTACCAAGACACAATATCCAGACGTAGAACGTCTATCAGAAGGTGATCCTGCCCAATCAGCATCTGAGTATCCAACGATCTGCTCATGGCCTCGACCCTCAAACAATAAACCTTTGCCTGGAGCTGATTTTATATACCGAAGAATGCGAACAACTGCATCCCAATGACTATCACACGGAGAATCCATAAACTGACTCACAACACTCACAGAAAAGGAAATGTCAGGTCTTGTCACCGTAAGGTAATTTAATTTACCAACCAACCGTCTATATCTTGCAGGATCGCTAAGAGGCTCCCCCTGTCCTGGCATAAGTTTAGAATTCGGATCCATCGGAGTGTCAGCCGGTCTACAACCTGTCATTCCTGTCTCTTCAAGAATATCTAAGGCATAATTTCTTTGTGAGATCACAACACCTAAGCTAGACTGAGCGACCTCAATACCCAGAAAATACTTTAGTTTGCCCAGATCCTTAGTCTGAAAGTGTTGCAAGAGATGTTGCTTCAATTTAGTAATACCATCCTGGTCATTGCCGGTAATAACAATGTCGTCAACATAGACCACCAGATAAACACAGAGACTCGAGGCAGAATGCCGATAGAATACAGAGTGATCAGCTTCACTCTGAATCATGCCAAATTCTCGAATAACCGTGCTGAACTTACCAAACCAGGCTCGAGGAGACTGCTTTAGACCATAAAGTGACCGACGCAAGCGACATACAAGGCCACGAGACTCCCCCTGAGCAACAAACACAGGTGGTTGCTCCATATAAACTTCATCCTCAAGGTCACCGTGTAAAAAAGCATTCTTAATGTCCAGCTGATAGAGGGGCCAATGGCGAACAGCAGCCATGGATAGAAAAAGGCGGACTGATGCTATCTTAGCCACAGGAGAGAAGGTATCACTGTAATCGAGCCCAAATATCTGAGTATATCCTTTGGCAACAAGACGAGTTTTAAGACGATCAACCTTACCATCCGGACCAACCTTGACTGCATACACCCAACGACAACCAACAGTAGATTTACCTGAAGGAAGAGGGACGAGCTCCCAAGTACCACTCGTATGTAAAGCAGACATCTCGTCAATCATAGCCTGTCGTCATCCTGGATGAGACAATGCTTCACCTGTAGACTTAGGGATGGAAACAGAGGACAAAGAAGATAGAAAAGCATAATAAGGTGATGACAAACGATGATAACTCAAACCGACATAATGGGGATTAGGATTAAGGGTGGCCCGTATACCTTTCCGAAGTGCAATCGGTTGATTAAGAGGAGACAAGTCCGCAGTATTAGCAGGGTCAGGTGCAGGACGTGAATCGGCTGGACCTGATGCTGGGCGCGGACGACGATGATATGTCAAAAGTGGTGTTCCTGTGGCAGGGAGTCTAGGAGGAGCCACACTAGACTCCTCAACGGCTGGAATGGATAAGACTTCTATAGCGGAAGATGAAGGAGGAGCTATAGGAGACTCGGGTAAGACTTCTGTGGCGGAAGGTGAAGGAGGAGCTATAGTAGACTCCTTAAAGGTCGGTATAGGTAAGACCTCAGATATATCAAGGGGGTCAGAAAGGTCAGAAGAGGTAAAGAAAGGTTTAGACTCAAAAAATGTGACGTCAGAGGACACAAAGTACCGATGAAGATCAAGTGAGTAACAACGATATCCCTTCTGAACACGAGAATAACCAAGGAAGACACACTTGAGAGCACGAGGAGCTAACTTATCTTTCCCAGGGGCTAGGTTATGAACGAAACAAGTGCTCCCAAAAACACGAGGGGGAACAGAGTATACGGGTGATTGGGGACACAATACTGCATACGGTATCTGATTCTGGATGGGAGAGGAAGGCATCCGATTAACTAAATAACAAGCTGTGAGAACTGCATTGCCCCAAAAACGCAGCGGAACATGAGATTCAATGAGAAGTGTGCGAGCAGTCTCAATGATGTGCCTATTCTTTCTCTCTGCAACCCCATTTTGCTGAGGGGTATAAGGACAAGAGGTCTGATGAATAATTCCTTGAGAAGTCATAAACTGCTGAAATTGAGAGGATAAATATTCTAAGGCATTATCACTGCGAAAAGTGCAAATGGAAACACCAAATTGATTTTTAATTTCAGCACAAAAATTCTGGAATATAGAAAACAACTCAGAACGATCTTTCATTAAGAAAATCCAAGTACATCTTGAATGATCATCAATAAAACTAACAAAATAACGAAATCCCAAGGTTGAACTGACTCTACTAGGACCCCATATATCAGAGTGAACTAAAGAAAAAATAGACTCTGCGTGACTCTCAATACTACGAGGATAGGAGGCTCGGGTATGTTTCCCGAGCTGACATGACTCACACTCTAATGTGGATAAACTAGACAAACCAGGCACCATCTTCTGAAGCTTGGATAAGCTTGGATGTCCTAAACGTTTGTGAATTAGGTCCGGAGGATCTGTAACTAGACATGCCTTGGAGGATTTTAGGGAGTTAAGGTAGTAAAGCCCTTCTGATTCAAGTCCTGTTCCAATCGTCTGCCCTGTACTGCGGTCCTGCATAATAAAAGAATCATCAATAAAATATATACCACAATGGAGGGCACGAGTCAAACGACTAACAGATGCAAGATTAAAAGGACAGCCAGGGACATAGAGAACGGAATCTAGAGTGACAGAGGGTAGGGGATTCGCTTGTCCAACTCCTTTTGCTTTGGTTTGAGACCCATTGGCTAAAGTAACAGTGGGAAGAGACTGTGAATACGCAATATTTGACAAAAGTGATTTACTACCAGAGATATGATCAGAAGCGGCTGAGTCCACAACCCATTGTCCAGGAGGACTAGACTGGGAAACACAAGCAAAAGAATTACCAGCAACAGAAGTATTAGTCTGAGCAACAGAAGCTACTTGTGGAGATGTCTGCTTACTTGCTCGATACTGAAGGAACTCATTATACTCCCCTTCAGATAAAGAAAATCCCTGGTTACCTGTAGTCTCAGTCTGAGCAACATAAGCATTTTTGGGTGGGCGGCCATGTAAAGAATGGCATACATCACGAGTGTGTCCAAATTTATGACAATAAGAGCACTTGGGTCTAGATCTTCCAAAACGACCTCCTCCTCGTCTATTCTCCATAGTATGAGATGCCCGATTGTCCACTGATTGGGATACGAGGACAGATGAGTCAAGTGTCTGTGATGAGCTCACTGGGTGACTAGGTGCTGCAGCAAGGCGAAGTAATCGAGAGAATAATTCATCAACTGTGGGGACGGTTGGACTAGCCAAAATCTGGTCACGTACTGAATCAAGGTCATTAGGGAGTCCAGCGAGTGTAAGAACTAGAAACATCTTCTGTCGTTGCTCTTGTTGTTTTTCAATACTGGCAGAAACTGGCATCAACGTCTCAAATTCTTCCATGACTGCCTAAACTTGTCCCAAGTAAGTAGACATATCTAATTCCTGTTTCTTCAAGCTTGTCATTCGCGATATTACATCACAGAAACGAGATATGTCATTAGTGTATAGATTACGAGCCTTTTCCCAAACTAAATAACATGTCTGGAATGGACGGAACAAGGGCATCAACTTGGAATCAATAGATCGCCACAGAATACTACATAACTGAGCATCGACCTTCTCCCACTGTGTTTTGGCCTTTTCATCACCTTCGCTAGCCTTTTTTGTTAAATGATCTTGAACTCCTTGACCTTTACACCACAACTCGACAGATGAAGCCCAATCTAAGTAGTTTGAACCTCCCATTAAAGGTTCTGAGGTAATCATAACACCGGAACTGCCAGAACCCGGGTTTCTAGACCCGAAAGCATCGACTCCCAAAGACATGGTTGGATTATCACCAAATAACAAAAAGAATCAACTGAAAATTCTCTGAAACAGATGAAGAAAACACTGTGTTTGCCGGAAAAGTACTGTAGCTGCCGGGAAAATCAGTGTAGTCGCCGGAAAAACTCAAAGTGGTCGGAATCAAACGAAAACAGGATGGGTAGGGTCGGAATTGCTGTGCGACCAGGCTGTCCTGAAGAAGCTCGGCCAAAAAATGGCCGGAAGAGGCCTCACGCGCCGGCGCGTGACGACGGAGACTCGCCGGAAAATATTTTCCGGCGGCGCGTGAGGGCGCGTGGGAGAGGTTCTGCCGGAGAAATTTTTGTGGTTTGGTCGCCGGAAGCTGATCTATCTCGTGGTGGTGTTGGTTTTTGCACAACACCGACAGATATTGATTTTTTCTTGCGGACAGTGCTGTTTTGCCGGAAAAAAAGGTTTTTTTTTTTTCTTCCCGGAGTCGCTGGAATTTATGCACAGCGATAAATATCTCACGATAGCTTTGATACCATGTGAGAAAGCACAGGAGAAATTATATTATTGATGTATTAACATATGTTACAATGAGCGCTATATAAATACACACATAACATGTCCTACTCCTAATATATATTGGATTAGGGTTATTTATTTACTCCTATTTACATGACTATTCTAACAATAAGCAACCATGTAATTGATCAAGCAGATCCAAAAGAAGATGACATAGGTTAGTTCCTAATATTAGCAAGCACAAACATGGACCTGTTAATTTTTGACTTTGTCTATATTCTTGAGCTGATTAGATCCGGTTTTCATATTGTTGCCTATTCCTGCAACAATTTGTTGAAGAATGAGTCAGCAATGGGTACTATTGACCAATATCTTCATTGAAACCTTGGATTTACAGGATCAATGTGAAGCTTTGTACTTGTAATAGCCTCCTACAAACCCACATACCCCACCCCTAAAATATCCATATCCATAATGGACTACAGCTGGCTAGTTAACTTCACAACCTAGAATAGTGTTTTTAAAAAAAAAAAAGGAAATAGACACCCAAATGATTTTTCAGGCAAATATGACCAATTGGAAGTAGAAAAACGATATTATGAATTGCCTGAAAAACTTCAATCGGGCATAACACAGTTGAGAAATAGACTTGAAAAAGAAAAAGACAAACAGAAATTCCTCTTTCTGGCTATATCATTTATTTTTCATCCTTTTCTTTTCGATAAGTCCCTAGTTTTATGGATTTCTGATTTTCTTCTTGCAAAAACACAAATTTTCATCTCTTTAGCCACACCTATCAAACATTATTTTTCCCTTCACCGTATAACATCCATTTGGGAAAAAAAGGATAAAAGTCTAAAGAAGTGCATGATGCTCTCTACACAAACTGACCAAGATATTCCGAGCACAGGAGAGACATTGATGCAAGTAATGGACTTAATGAAATTCAAAGGCATACATTCATATTCATTTGCATTAGATGCTAAGTGGAACTGAATTCCTTGTGCTTCTTTATAGATGTCTAATCTATAATAAATAAGGACGGCCAAATAGAACCTGAAAAATAAATAACTAAAACAAAAGGCTCTGGTGATGAAGGTAGCAGACAGAATAATTAAGGAGTCAAGGCATAGGAAGGAGAGAATAGATACTAGTTTTAGAGAACATAGAGATCATACCAATAACTCACATCCCAGGGTAAGCCTTTCATTTGTAGATATCACAGGAAGGACCAAACTTTCTGCTGGAATTTCTGAAACCCGTGAAAACAAAAAGATTGCTGCATCTAAAGACTGGAAGAATAAGCGTGCTCCAGCAAAGAAAAAGTTCCCTATACTGCAAGTTTCATAAGGTCTTGTTACCAACTTCAGTCACTATTACAAGTATCGATGAAAATAAACCACCCAGAACAATGATTAAAGGAGAATATTAAGCTAAAGAGACAACTAGCAAGATACCTTCCATTGCTGAAACAGAATAACTCATCTGAACGCCGGAGAATCTGAAAACAGAAAGAGCCAAGCTGGTTCTCAATAGCAAGTCCAACAACTTATATAATCGATCATTTAAGAAGACAGAAAGAAGAGCCAATTAATGGGTAAGAATAAAGTATTTATTATTTCCAGTGGAAGTCCATCATTATGTATGACAACAATCAGCAAATAGCTTCAGAAGTTTCAACCATATTATCTGATTTCAACACCATGGAATGTTGGTACAACGATAGAATTTGAAGCAACATTAATGATTAGATTGATACTGTACAAGTGCTCAAGAGGTGAATATTTATACACTCAAGCTGCAAATTAACCCTCAGTGCTGAGTGGTCGGTTGGTCCATTGGCCATTCAACGCCATAACCAGAGTTTGATTCAATTAGGGTCACCCCAGTCCCCTATCATGAAATCATTGATTGGAAGGGGGCAAAATAATTGAAGGTCTATATAATCTACTAACAACAACGAAGTCCAGATTAGGAACAGTACTAGGTGTTATTTAGGCATAATGAAGCTATTGGGAACCTTTTCTTGATAATAGAATATAAGCAAGAACCAGAACTGGTTTTGTATAACAGAATTGTAGCATGGTAGTTTGGGAAATGGGTTAAATTTCAGTGCTTAAAACTGCCACTAATGTCAGATATAATCATCCATCCCATTATGGACTTGAACTCATTATTCTACCCAAATTTGGCAACTTGTGCCCTTAGATGTAACTCCTTCCACTCTAAACTGATAAAAAATATCACATGTATACATAAACGTATCTAATCCCGCAATAAGCATTGGATGCAAAGATCTCCCATCAACAAAGAAGAAGATGAATTAAGAGAGCAAAGTCAGCAACATCTAAAGAAGACGATTATCCTCAACAAAATTCTGCAAGTTAATTTTCAAGCCGATGCAGCATCTTAAAAAGCAATAGGATAATCTCTAGTTTTTTTTAAAGGGAAAGGATAGGATAGCATTGAAGCAGTTGGAAATATAGTAGTGCTTAATTGACCAACCTGATCCTGGAAGTAAGCCAAGAAAGCTCTTATAGTTTCCCTATATGGTTTTGAGACACCTCGCCATAGATCATGGCTGCCCTCCACAATATCGTACCTGTCATGATCAATTAACAAGTACAAGTGGGTATACAGAATTCAGTAGAACCAGATAAAAGATGAAAAGGTTCTCCAAAGAAATCACTTTTCTTTTTTTCTGTTTATTTCCTTCTTTTTCATTCCTCCCTTTTTTTTCTCCTTTAAGATGCCATTATTCTAGTATATATTTTCAATTTTATGTGGGCCTGCTACTTTTCCAAGTAGACCTAGTAGTTTCTTGAGCTTGTACCTTTTCCAATCAAATATGTGAGAATTAATTCTTAATACAATGAACCTTTTATTTCTTCTAGGTTACTTTTATGCAGTCTTATCTGACAGGTTTATGGGTTTCTTCTACATCCTCCAAGTTTACAGCCATTGCTAGTGTTCAGGTAAGCAGATACAGCCCAGATAACCAGATCTGCGCAAAAATAATTCAACATTTCTATTCTTTACTAAAGCTCTGTCCACTGCCAAACCACTTTGAAGAATCTTGTAGTTAAAGTGGGTTTAGCCACGATATAAGAAAAATCAAGATAAGCCCAAGGAACCCATTACCATTGAATAGCAGTTAGTCTATATAACCATCTAAATCTGTGTTGATGACATTTACCCACTTAGCATGGATAAAAAGGACCAGAAATTCCACAATGAAAATGTGAGCAGCATTTTTGCTTCAAATATTTCTTGGAGAAGAATCCTAGAGTAACTACCATTCTGATTTGGCTCTCTGTGGATCAAGAGGTAAACGATGACCAAGCAATATTCGGACTGCACGAGCCTCCGAGGTACTTTGGTCCGACAATCTCAAACATCTTGATCGTATATCTCCAACAGCAGGACCACCTAAATATTGACTGTCAACTTTTTTATCATTCATTCGTTTTGCCGGAAAAACTGTGTAAAGAATGATGCAAAAACTTAATAGGGGAACAAACTCATGAACATAAACTGTAGTCTTTCTGAAGAAACTTTACTTTCTCTTTGTTTCTTAGATAGGCCTAAAACATTACGAGATATAGTCGGAAAGAGTCTTGCGCGCTTCTTCTGTAGAAGATTACGTCACCATACCTCTTGAAATGTAAACTATCATAGCCCCAAACATATTTCACATGGGAATGTCATGTCTTAAAAATACTGATAACACTAATTTTCAGACGGATAAGTTTAGTGAACAAATAGAGAGGCCTAAAAGGTTAGGGATAAAGAATATAAAGGATTGGAACGTTTAACCATACCAAGAACACGAACAATTTCAGCAGTACTGCCTCCATCATCAGAAACAGGGAGCACATGAGCTACACGAGTTGTTAGTTTCTTAAGCTCTTCAACCACACCATTAAATGCAGTTCCACCTGTAGTAGTACCAAGTTCTCAGAATGCGAAGTCATCAGAAATCTTGATATATAATACAACAACAACAACTAAGCCTCATTCTCCAACAAGTTGGGGTTGTCTATATCAATCCTTACTATCCATGTCGCTTCATTTAAGCTCATCTCATACCAATATTATATAAAATAAAATAAAAATAAAAAGTACTAGAAGTTCTCTATATTGTCTACTAGCTTATAAATATATGATAGGACTAAAAGACTCCTAGAATACATAGGACCTATAGAAAATGTCCTAATATGACTAAAACAAATTTCCAATTAATTCATATCGCGTACATAAATATTCTTTTTCCATTTTTCCCTACATTTCATAAGGCCTGCACAGACTCCAAGAGCTCGTAAGTCTTTTGAGAAAATTTCTCACATGTGTTTTAGGTCTACTTTGTTGTAAGCACTTTCACTCACCATGGTTTTAAACTACAGGTCGATGCATCTGGAGCGGTGTTGTCAAAAGCGTGCTTAAAGCGCACTTAAGCCCTGAAGTGAGGCTCAAAACACGTTGTGGGCGCTTTAGCGTCGCATCAAAGCTCTAAGGCGTACTTATCCTTGCCAACGAGTGTAATCCTGAAAAGACGACCTTAAACAATTGATATTTCACTTTATCGTAATTTTTTTTCAATTTCTTTCATATATTTGTTATTCATGCTTATAATGATTAGTCTTGGACTACATGCATATTTTTACTTTTTCTACAGTTGCGCCTTTTTTCATTAAAGCCCACACTTTATTTGCGCTTCGCGCTTAAAGCCCCAACGGACCTTAGAGCTTTTTCGCGCTTTTCACCCTTGATAACACTGATCTGGAGGTCAACGCAGTACATGATCAAACCATATCTCAAACGACCTTCTCTCATTTTATTCTTAATATATCCTACATACACCTTCTGTTGAATGTGGTCATTCTTTATCTTGTCTAATATTGTATAATCATGCATCCATCTTACCATCCGCATCTATATGACACTTATCTTGTGAATATGTTGAACTTTAGCGATCCAATATATAGTCTCACATAATGTTAATGATCCTATAGCTGTTTTATAGAACTCACATTTTACTTTGGTATGTATCGTGTTATCACATAACGCTCCAGTAGCACTTCATTTGAACCATCCTATTTTGATTCTATGCGTAAAATCTTCATCTATTATACCATTACTACATTGAGCTTAGATAGCTCAATTGTTTGCATTTAGGCACCGCAATCCTGTATAATCTCACCTCAACTTCACTCTTCTTACGGTGATGAAACTTCTAATGCATATATACTTCTACTTATCCTAAAACCCTTACTCTCGGGGTGTTTCTCCACGATTCAAACTTTTCATTGACAACCTACTTGGTTTCGTCAATTAGCATACTATTGTCAGCAATAATATATATCATGGGGCGTGATCTTGTATGGTGTTAGTTAGCTCATCCATAAGGGTGAACAAGTACGGGGTCAATGTCGATCTCTAGTTTAAACCCACGGTTATGGGGGACTCCTTTGTGTCTCCTACAATTATTATCGCACTAGTGACACATCCTTCATACATAACCTTTATGGCATTTATATATTTTAATATAAATCTGTTTCTTCTCCAAGACCGACCAAAGGTTTTGATACTCCATTGTATGTTGTCATCCTAAGTCGAGGGTCTTTCGGCAGCCTCCCTGCCTTCTTGAAGGTAGGGGTAAGATCTGCGTAGTGCGTACATACTACCCTCCCCAGACTCCACTTGTGGGATTACACTGGGTCTATTGTTGTTGTATTGTATGCTGTCAATTCCAATATATAATTATTTTCAAAATAAAAAATAAACTGTAAACGAAATAATGCAGAAAATAAATGCTAAACTGAGAATGAACCAATTATTATAGTTGGAATTGCAGATTAACCAGATAAAATTCAAAACAGAATCTCAATAATAAAACATTGCCTACTACCCACATTTGGAACTGGTAACCAAATGTATGAGAGAAATAAATTGAAATCGCAAGAAACAGCATAAAAGATTCTCACTTTGAATCTAACGCTTAAACAACTCTGCTCTATGCCAGGTGCCCAGGTCTCAAGGACCCAAAACAGTAGTAAACTTTTTGGTTTGTGGGTGCTTTCAAGATTCAACATGTACATACCCATTAATCAATTAAGCAAGTAAATCGACAATCTTTAAGGAAGTTGGGGGATATTATAATAAACGTACCAGAGAAAACAAGAAGAGAAGTTTGATGATGGGACCCAGTGGAGGAAACACTAGTGGGGCTAGAGGAGGAGCAAAGACAGTGACGAGCAGCCATAAGGGAGAAAGATAGAGATGTTGAAAATGGGGAAAATGTGAAAGGAAAGTTAAATAAAGAAGGGGGCTTGGGCTTGAGGTTGAAGGGTCCCAAATAACTGTCCGCCATACTCGTGGGAATTGTCATAATACCTTAAACGAAACAACCCAAGTTTCCTTAGCTTTTGCTGATGCACATCACCGGATGAAACATGCCATAAATGGACGGACGAGACAATTCTCTTCACTGCCTCCTCCTCTCGTTTTTCTCTTTCTTTCTTTTCTTCTTTTGTGTTTTCTTTTTTCCTCTTTTGCCACGTAAGTTGTACTAGTGGTTTTATTTTACCGTCGAAGTCGAAGCTCTTTGTAATAGTTTTGTTAGTTTCTATATATCTTTTGAATTAAAATAAACGTATTTTATAACATATGAAAAAATAATTCCAAAAAGAACTTAATTATTATAATAAAGTATTGTTATAAAGGATGAATATTATATAAAGGCTTGCCAATAATTTTATATATGTGTCTCCCACCTGCATTGGTTTTTACAGAGAATGAATGGTTAGATCATTTATTTCACAGCAAAAGAGCCTTCAACTTGAGGAATAATTAGCTAAATTATTTGCCTCATGAAAACTCCATTTTAACTCTCAATCCGAAGAATAATTGGTTAGATCATTTGCTTTACCGTAGAAGAACCCCTTTCAAGGAAATCTCATTCTCTATTTTCAAGGTTGGACTTGACATATGTGGTTATAAATTGAAAGATATTACCACTCCATTTAGCATTTGGTGGTAGAAATGTTAGTTAATTGATTTTTAAGGTAGAATAATTGGAATTGAAGATAGTCTAACTCTAAAAATAACATGAACTGGGAATTGATAATTCAAATGGCAAAATAAACATTGTTTGGGATAAGAGAGAAAGAATATCTATAATCTAAAGTTGAATAGAAAATTGATTTTTAAGGCAGAATAATTGGAAAGAGAAATGATTTATTTTTGTATAGTCATATGGTGTTCACAAAAAGGAATATAAGAGATATTTGAGTTAGACGTAATTTGTTTACCCTTTTCTGAGATAAACTCTCATCATAAGTCAAGAAGGTAAAATAAGTTCACAAAATAAACTTGAATTTATATTGCAAGGTTCAATTAAATCTTTTCTGATCTTTTCCTTATTTAAGGATATCAATCTTCTTCCAAAATTCATGATTTTAGTTCTTTCTTTTTTGTTCTATTTTCAATTAGAATGCTCGCGGAAACACTAAAAGTATTTTTTTTTTCAAATACTTAACCTTACAGCTTGTTTGGATGGTTGTTACCCATTGTATCGTATTGTATTGTTTTCCCAAAACAATGTTTGTTTTCATTTTTTAGTTAAAATTGGTTGTATTGCATTGTTAAATCCATTGTTCCGGAACAATGAAAAGTCCCATTTTTTGAAACAACCGATTTGGTGTGGTGGGATTGTTTCCTATTTTTCTTTCTAATTATGCCCTAACTTATTACTTTATAATTCTATTATACCCTTTACCTTTTTTTATTTTAAATAATAGCAAAGTCTCTTTCTCGTATAATTCTATAATAGAATTCTANAAAAAGTGTGAACATGGCGGGTAAATTAGAAACTATGCACATATTTGGTAATAAAGTTTCATATATAGTATAGGAAGGGAAAAATCCCTAAAATAAAAGAGTTAATTTGCAAGAGGCCCAAACTTAGCTAAGAAACAAGCTGAAGTTTGCCCTTTGGAATCCTTCAAAGAAAGCAAATGAGTTCATTTCTGGGAACTAAGCAGAATAATTGTATAATAAGGTTTGCAAATCCCACATCGATAGAAACTGGAAAACAAAGAGTTGAGAGCCATTATAGAAGAAGAGGCCCAAGCACTAAGTAAAGCATACCTTTCTCGGCCTTTTGGCTAAGATCAAGTGTAGTATCTGTTCTTATCAGTTTAATATCTGATATGTGAGCCATCGGCTCACACGATATTAACTCAATTTTTTAAGGGGAAAGGTCCATCAAGGTAGCTTGCTATCTGGACCTTTGCGCGTCGCCCTGGTCTTGCACTATTGCTTGGGCCTGGCGCACCCCACCAAAACAAGTCTGAATGTTTTATGCTTGTTGGGCATATGTTCAATTTATCAAAATCAGCCAAATCACAGTTTAATTTTTCCTGTTCGAGTGAGGCTTATTGACATATGTTCAAGCTGTTTAGGTGGACTATAGCTGCCCTTGTAGTGAGATCTGACGCAAATATTCATATATGTTGTCTAGTGGAGCTGGGCCTAAGTCCTTGGTACGTAGTAATGTAGAGACAGATAAATAAAGAATACAGAATTTAACATGAAAAATCACTTGGCTCATAAATATTTAACCTAAACTCTACTAAGATAAAGGAGCCAAAAAGGATGGATTATCCGTGAGCCCATGCTCCTCTCCCTAAACCATGTATAACAAAGTTATATTTCTTCAAAATTTCTTAAAGATATATGTGTGCACCCACGCAATAAGACTCCTATGGTGCACCTCTACAGGTAAAATTGGCAGTTCAAATGCCACTCCGAACGGTCTTGTTTTCGGCCAGGAGTATAGGTATATATCCGTAAAAATCACTAAAATTTCAAAAAGAATATAACTTCCAACTTAATTCCAAAAGTGTAGATGCTTCATAGTAAGAGACTAATATTAAACCCCTCAAATATAAATTCTAAATCCACCTCTTCACAACAGTGCATCCACCCTCTTTGAAATCCTAGATTTACCTCTGTCTTTCACTACAAGTTACTGCATTGTAAAGGAATTCCTAGTTCAACCAATAAGACTCTGGTGTTAGCACATGTTCGCTGCACATTTGTTTATCATCAAAACTTGTAGTAACAGTACAACAATTTATTTCAAGTCATATATGAGAGTGGATTACTATTGAGGAAATGATCCTTTATTTAGTTTGTTTTATCACAGACTCATCCTTTTTCTTGCTTTCAAATTCCAACTCAGACAGCGAGTAACAAATACTGAGGAAATGATCAAAATGGTCCTTAATTTATGGAGGGTGCTTTATCTTGGTCCTTACTGTATTACCCTTAACAGATATGGTCCTTAATGTATATCAAAAGATAACATATTTTGTCTTTTGCCCTAAACCTAATAGATTTGTCAAAAGGGGGCTGTTAAATTTAACCTAGGCGCCCCTTGTGCAGCTCACGTGCAATTAAATACCGGTTAAATTTAAGTACGAACAGCTTCAAAAAATACGAACAGATTCAACTACGAACAGGTTCAACAAACTGAATTCAAATTGTAGAATTCAAATCTTCGAGATTCAACAACTCAAAATTGCTATATTCTGTTCTTCGTCGTTTTCAGAAATCAAATTGGCGATCATATATCTGTTCTTCATCATTTTTTCTCTCAATCTAGAAATCCAAAAAAACGAACAAATTTAGAATGATATGGGGGTTCGTGTGTATATGGAGACCAAAAAGGAGAATAAAAACTTAGGTTCATATTCGTTATGTATAAGTGTACGAGATTTCAATATGGAATTGGCAATCACCAACGATAACATAAGTGCAGGTTTGTATAGTTCGAAATTGCATAGAATTATGGTTTTACGGTATTATCTACAAAATTACTACATTTGCCTACAATTAAACTACAAACCAGTTTAATGAAAGAATAAGGCAATGTTGTTTTCAAAATTATCTACAAAGTTACTACATTTATACGACAAAATAAACTACAATCTATGATTAGAAATTGTTGATTTCAATATGTCTGACATCCTAAAATGGATGACTACAAAATTTTCACTATATTTACAAATTATCTACAATTGAAATGGGAATTGGAATATTAAAATTCAATGTATCCAGTTTGTAGATATTTTGTAGATAAATTGTAGATTATCTGTATTCTGATTGTAGATGCATTGTTTTCTGTTTTCACAAATCCAAAACGACTAAAACTTCTACAAAATCTTCTGCAAAAACAGTCTACAATTGTTCTACAATTTATCTACAATTTCTGCAATATGTCTTCTTCTTCTTCTTCTTCTTCGAGTTTCAATCTGAATTTCAGTCAAAACCAAGTATGTCCAGAATATTTTTGAAAAACAGGAAAATTAAACAAAACTCATTTTTCCTAATTCTTTTATACATTGATATTAATTGCAGGTCAAGAATGGTATGCGTCTATTTACATCTAGTTCATTCTTTCCTTTTTCCTTCTTTAAGAAAACAATAAAAATATTTTCCTATTTTGATGTTTTGCAGTGAAATTGGGGCCAAAGTTTTCAAAAACGGTGAAGGGAAAGTTGAAAATAGTGAAAGAAGGAGGGAGAAGGAATATATTCAGGAATATGTTTAATGTAAACGAAGGAGAGAAGCTGCTAAAAGATACAGAACAAAAAAAACCGGCCCATTTTTGGTGCTTTGAATTAAGGAGGGATATATGCTGCATTAATTGTACTCTTAAAATACACTATGGTATAGAATTGGTAATTTGGTACATTAAATGTAATTATATCAAACCTTAAACATTAAGAGTAATAAGGTTTCCTATATGGTATAGGAATGTAAAAATCCCTTGATTTAACTCTTTCTTCTGCCAGTAGTTATCAAAACAGTCTAACAATGAAGCAATCTGGTACAACATTAAATTCACTGGATTGTATAATTTATTGATCAAGTAACACTCATCACGTAAAAATATGAAGATAACCTAACATTTTAACTAGCAGCCTTTGGAAAACCGAGGAAAAAGATGGTGGCCAACTCAACAGAACTAGTTCTATTCAGAAGTTCAAGCTTCATGGGGCATCAGTAACATGAGTTATTATATATTGAGTATGTTCCATTCCTGATCATAAGGACTCAAAATTTACCATAATTAACAGATCTAATAACTGAGCCCAAAATTACTATACTCATCAATAAATAAAAAATATAAGCATCCATCTCCAAAACTATAGTCAATGAGAAATCCGCAAAAAAGCAGATTAACCTTGTTTGCCTAAGGAATGTTAAGAGTTACCACAGTTTCGTTCGGAGCTTATTTACTAAATCTCTGTAAACTGTTACTGAGGTTACATTTGAAGCTTTTTTTATCTGGATGATTGTCCATACCATTACTGGAGTATTATTTGGAGCTAGTTTGTCTAGATTATCTCCCAATCTGAGTCGCAAAAGACTTCTTCTGAAAATTCAAGCTTCTCATTTGGAGAAGATTTTGGCTTGCTCTCTGCATTTGATTGCTCTGATTCTATACTGAGATCCTCATAAATGGCTGTGTCCTTGTTTCTCTGTTTTCCAGGCATTACTTCTAGCTTTGTCATGTTTTTCTGAAAGCAAAACATATGTCAAACTCAAAAAACAAAAGAAAGCTACTGTACATCCAATGTTTCATATTCAATGAGCCCCAATCACATGCTCTACTTTGATCTCCAACCAGAAAAATAAATAAATGGCTAAACATACAAACAAATAACTGAATAAGACAGAAGGAAAGTTGTGCAGGAAGAAGCCCAAACAGATTAGTGAAAAATGAAAAGCGGAATTTCAGGAAAAAAGATAAACTCGGAGGAAATACGGAGGCAAGACCTTTTGAGAGATATGAGCTCCATAGAATTCTGAGCACGACGACAAATCATCCTTATACACCAGAACACAGTTTCCATCAAACTCCACTTCGGGTACTGAGTCGACGCCTGGTTCATTTACATGATGATCCACAGACTCTCCTGCATTCTCTATCCATTAGAAAAATAAAACCAAAGGGAGATACATGATCAATAATTTTCTCAATCTTACAAATTCATTTTAGGCATGTGAAACCAGGAATGCTAATCATAGACAGATTAAGCTTAATGAAAAAAGTACTCAAGTAAAACACATGCAACAATAAAGAGGAGAGTCAAACATTAGTAGGGATTGCAGCTCGGACTAAGAGGAGAGACAAACATCAACAAGGACTACCTTAAAAAGAAGTTTTAGGTGGGGTAATTCTTTCAAAATATGAAGAAAGTCTTCTACTCTAGGCCAGTGTTAACTGTTAAGTCGTCGGCTTAAAGCCTTGTCAAATAGATCCCCTTTTACCTCCTACCTTTCCTCCTTAAACTAGGTTATTGGTTCAAATGAAAAATCAATATTCAACACAAACAACAAAAAGAAGTCGAAAACAAAAGCAAGAGGAAGTTCAACTGAATGCACTGGGGACAGCTTGAATGCTGACTCTTTCATTGACTCCAAATGAGTTAATCGAATAGCAGAGCTAAGACAAGAAAAAGCATACCACTTGAAATAGCTGGAAGTGCTGCACAAGAATTTATTTCGTCAAAATCGGGAAAAGCAGACTCTTGTGATACAGTAGAGTAAGGTGAACAAGTTAAAGATGGGACATTTGAAATGTCAGCTTCAAGATCCGTGACATCTATGGTTTTCCCCACTTGCATAGAAGGGTCAGATTCTTGGCATTTGACTGATGCAATTGTCGAAGATTTGGCAGAACCTTCAACTCCGTTATCGCCCTCGTAAGGTAGTGATGTCATGTGTAGAGTTCCCTCAGTAAAAGCCTTTTCAGAAGTATCCTCAACAGACATCTTCATCACCATATCTGCTTGTGGCTGAAGTGAAGAATCAATATGCACTCCTTCAGCAGTTTCCGCAGGGAACACGATGGAGGACGAGTTTGAATGGGAAAGTTCCTTCTTATTATCCTCTTCCACGATGATGTTTGACAGCTCAGAAGCTAGAAGCTGTTTCTTTATATTTTGTTCTAAAGATAAATTACTGGTCTCGTCTTCCTTGGCTTCTGACAAAGATGCAGGGAATATTTCTTGAATAAACTCTGAACAAAATTGTTTCAGATTTGCACCAGCTATCTGCAATTGGCTTTCGACATAATCTAGTTGTTCCTGCCAACACACAATTAATCAACTAATTAAAGCCTATCAAGGAACATCAAAAGCAGGCAGAAAATCTAATTTCACTTTCCAGAACTCAGAACAAAACCTAAAGGTTCACAGTTTTTACATGATAACATCAATTAATGACAGCTGCAGTCTACCCTATTCCATATATTTGTTATTATCACAGGAAGAGAAGACCTATAAGAAAACCAAAGAGCTGATAATTTGTATGAAATATATGCCTGTGTATTTTGTGCATATACGTTCACGAGAGCACCAATTGTAATGTCCTACAACATGAAGCACTCTGGGATTCAAATTTGATAACAAGCAAAGGAAAAAAAACAAAAACAAACAAGAAGGAAAGCTAAAACAATTAACAAATGGCACTTGAGATATATGGTAAGCCGACTAATGATACCTGAGATCTGGCGTCAACTTCAGAACACAGACTTTCCAACTTAGCCCCAACCTTTTCAATCCAGGCTATGCCTTTACTTGTGAAGTCCATTACGAACATAAATAGTTTAACTCTTAGAATAGCTGGTACACGAACCCAATTCCTGCTCAAAGATGCCAAAAAGAACTCTAATCTTCAACAACAAGCATGAATAATTGTGATATAACGGATGCAAAATAAGACCTCTTTGTATGATTGAACCACATTGAGAACATGCTAAGCAATCTTCATATGAATCAGAAGTGCATATGTGGATGAATAAAGTGCTTGGTGTGTTTCTAGTCCCCAAGGCACAAACCAGTTAATAGAGAAACAGAAAGTCAGCAATGTGGTATTGGATTACATTTCAATTTCAATTTTCTGTCACTAACACGTAGTTGCATTTGACTAAAAGGATGCATCTCTTAGTTCCTCAAAACAAAAGAAGAACTGAAAGATGAGAATCATCTGATATTGGAAAATAAATTCAAGATAAGCTAATGCAAGCAAAGGATACAGAGTATAATTTTAAACAGCTGACACCATTATTAAGGCGAATTTATGTGTACTGTGTTTGACAAATGTCCAACAAATATCATAAGTGATCCAACAAAAAAGAATGTTTTTTCCTTCTTCAAATGTTCACTCCTTAGATATACAGCAGGACGTGAGTCTAATTCAGTATGACGTGAGTCTTCTTCTCCATTTATCCAGACTCCCTTGAATGTTTTTCTGTTTTTGTGGCTTTTTCTTTTTGTTGGTATTTACTCTTTGTTGAATGCACTTTCTTATACATAAAAGTTTATTTTTTTAATTAAATGTGATCACTGTTTTTGTTACCACAAGGCAATGTGTGGCATCAACGTTAGATTTTCCTTAAACTAGTCTAATAATCTACAATTACATATGGAAAGCATTTGATTTAAAAAAAAAACACATCAATTTCTTGAAAAACATGTGCATTGAGACTAAGTAAAACATCCCTGGGAACCCCAATAAACAGAATTACACTATGAAGATTGAATTAGTCCCCACAGAACAACACGTTTCGCGCAAAATACCTAAAAATCTTATGTAACATTCAGAAGTATGATTAAAGCTTGCAAAAGGCCAATGGAACTTTAACCCAATTCAATAAACACTTAGGCCCTTACCAATTAGTACAGATAAAATTGGAACAACAGGATTCTCAATGTTGATCACCAATTAGTGGAAAGAAACAAAACACATCTTAGGCCCTTACCAAGTTTTCTTTTTTCACTTCATGCAACTAATGAAATCCCAAAAAGTTTCTATTTTTACCCAATACATCAAAACCAAACAAATTGTTTCTGACTTTCCCAAATTAACAATCAATTTAGCAAGAACGAAACAGTCTACACGTACTTAAGAGTCATAATAATTCTCACAAGACAATGATAAAAGTATCAAATATTCAGTTAAAGGGCAGACGATTAACAACAAAAACAAATTGATCATCATTCTTGAATTAACGTTCATAACTTACAAGTTGGAGACAGGAAACTCTTTCGGGCTAAAGTAAAAGTTTATAGAGAAAACCCAAATCACCTTACGGACAAAAGATTCATATAAAAGGGTGGATACATAATGAGAGAAGAAAGGAAGTAAGAAACTGAAGCAAATTGGGAGAGAAAAGAAGAGGAAGTGGTTCAGTAGCCTAGTAGGAGTAGGAAGTCATGCAGTAGAAATCTAGTAGGTGCAGGACTATTATGTTTCCATGCTCCTATTTTGTGTACGAAAAGTACGAGGTGACAGGGCCCACCGTCTATGGGTCCTACCATTTCAATATTTACTCACAAATAGTGTTAACTTTAAAAATAAAAAATAAAAAAAACAAAAAACGCTACTATTTCTTCTTTTGAAACTGAAAATTCGTAAGGGTTTTGAGTTTTCAAATATCTTTTGGAACAAATTATTTTCTTTTGTATGAGTATTAATTTTGAGATTTGGTTAGGCTCAATGAAATTGATAGTGCAAAGTTACACATAAATAAAATATCTTAAATATGTTACTAAAATTCATTATATTTTAATTTGAAACGAGAGTCACAAAATAATGTAAGAAAGAATAAAAAGGAAAACAGAATTCAAAATATTTGTTTGACCTTTGCTTGTTTGACAGAATAGATGATTATGAATACTGAAAAGAAAAGGAGAACGTTGATTTTATAAAGTTCAAAAATTGAATCAATTGAATACAACAAATATTTTTATTCCGTCAGTCGCACGCTTAATTACCTTTTATTACCTAAGTCCTAAAAGATGCATAAACCCCCCATAAAATTTTTGGTGAACGTCTAAATTTTTAAACTTTTTGGAGTAAAAGGATAGAGGCGCTGAATATTCGGTCAATGAAATTATTGAAATGTGATAGGTAAAAATTGCAATTACATCCTATTTGGTTGTTCTCATTTAATTCGTTTTCATTTTTTAAAATTTTTTAAAACTTGTACTCACTGTTTGAACAACTTCAGACCTTTTCCTCCTCCTCCTCCTTCTTCTTCTGGTCACAGTGATTTTATATGGTGTTTGTGAATATAGTTTATGATGTTTTAGAGTGGTGAACCGTTGTGGCGCTTTATCTTTTACTATTGCTTAGGGTTTCTTCTTTTTTTTTTCCTTGATTGCAAAATGGGTTCATTAGATTTATTGTTATTTTGACAAATTGATAATTGGCAGAGCCGTCAAAATGGGCTTGGCCCGTGAAGCCAGCCCAACCCAGCCCGCTATTTGGGTAGGGCTGGGTTGGAATTTTTTTAGCCCATTTAAAATTGAAGCTTATAAGCCCAGCCCAAGTCAGCCCGCTGGCCCTTGAGGCTTGACCGAGGTTGGGCCTGGGCCGGCCCGTGGGCCAAAAATTAATTATATTCAAATTTAAATATTTAAAAAAAAGTAAAAAAAAATATTAACTTTAATCCCCATTTTTCAACCTTAGATTGCTCATTTACCCTTCCACATCAACTAGAATTTATATTTTTGATATGCATGTAGTATGACAAGATTAGTTTTTCTTTTGCTTAATTAACAACGAACAAGAAAAGTTTTAAGTGGTCAATACTATTTTTTTCTCTTTTGAGTGGCCAATGATCGATTTGGTTACTTTAATATATTAGTAATTATTAAATTGCTCTTCAGTATAGAAAAATGTCAAGTTTTAATGCCAAAAAAATTTGACAATACTAGCAAATATCATGAATTTTAAAATTTTCATGGACTATAATGATGAAATCGACAAATAATGTTAAACCTAATTAAAAAACCTTAACATATAAACTTATTGAAGCAATTCCTGAACCTAAGGAAAGTTGTAACGACCCGACTGGTCGTTTTGAGCAATTTCGTCCGGTTCGATAGTTTGATGTCACGAGCAGCTTCATAATATGAGTATCGACTTGCGTGCATGTTTGAATTCAATTAATGAATGATTAAGAGTCAAATTGGAAGAAGGAATCTAGTTTTGGAAGTTTGAACGGTGAGAATTTGACCGGAATTCGGACTTTTGAGTAAACGACCCCGGAATCTGTTTTGGGTGATCTCAACAGCTTCGTATGGTGATTTTGGACGTAGGCGTGTGTTCGGATTGTGTTTTGGAGGTCCGTAGCTAATTTAGGCTTGAAATGCCGAAAGTTGAATTTTTGAAGTTTCCGTCGATAGTGAGATTTTAATATCGGGGTCGGAATGGAATTCCGGAAGTTGGAGTAGCTCCCTAGTGTTGAATGTGACGTGTGTGCAAATTTTCAGGTTATTCGGACGAGGTTTGATAGACTTTTTGATCGAAAGCGTAATTTGAGAGTTTTTGGAATTCTTAGGCTTGAATCCGATGAAAAATTGGTGTTTTGATGTTGTTTTGAGCGTTCCGAAGGTTGGAACAAGTTTGAATGATGTTTTAGTATTGGTTGGCATGTTTGATTGAGGTCCCGAGGGCCTCGGGTGTGTTCTGAGTGGGCCACGGGTCATTTTTCTCTATGTTTGAACTGCTGTTCTGCTATCTGGTGTTTCCTTCTGTGCGATCGCATAGGCATAGCCGCGACCGCGTAGTACAATTTCAACCTGCCATATTTTCCTTCTATGCGATCGCATTGATTTGTTCGCGATCGCGTAGCACAAAATTTGGACAGTAGCATTTTCCTTCTATGCGATTGCATTTGTTCGCGATCGCGTAACATAAAATTTGGACAGTAGCATTTTCCTTCTATGCGATTGCATTGATTTGTACGTGATCGCGTAGCACACTTTGGGCCAGCAACTATTTCTTCTATGCAATCGCATCTCTTCTCCCGCGATCGCGATGAACAAATACCTGGGCAGTATTTAAATAGCCCATCCGCGACCCTTCTTCATTCTTCCACCATTTTTGAACGGGATTGAAGCTTTTGAGGGAGATTTTCGTGGAAACCAAAGGGGAATCACTTGCAGATAATATTCTTGACTTCATAACTCGTTTATATGTGATTAAAGGTCTAATTAGTGGTGAAAAATTAGGAAAAAATCATGCAAAATGGGTAATTAGGGCTTGAGATTAAGAGACCTTAAAATGGGTATTTGAGGGGTCAATTGAACTCCGATTTCAGTGTTCTTGGTATGTATAGACTCATGAGAGTACGAGGGTTCTGAAAATATAACTTTTACCCGCTTCCGAGGCGTGGGTCCGAGGGGAATTTTGTCCATTTTACCTAATTTCGCGTAGTAGCTTAGAATTTATTTGTAGAATCAGTTACGTGAAGTGTTATTTACATTATGCAATTGAATTGGATAGATTTGGGCCATTTGAAGTTGAGTACTCGTGGCAAGAACGTGGTTTCAGATTGATTTTGAGCCGGTTCGAGGTAAGTATCTTGCCTAACCTTGTGTGGGGGACTTCCCCTTAGGATTTGAGTCTTTTATGCTAATTGTAGTCCGTGCATGCGAGGTGGCGAGTGTGTGCTCGGACTTATTTGTGGGAAATATGCTTTAGGGTTCTTAGGTCCTTACGTTCAATATGTGGGAAGTATTTCGTTATGATTGAGTGTAATAATTGCTTAAATTGTCCCTCCTCCACATGATGTTGTTAGCGTTCCTCTAATTCTTACGTGTTGCTTTGACCCTTAGTTGCCTTAATTGAAGTGATTGCCTTCCTTACTACTTTGATACTTCTTGATTGTGAGTTCCTCTATGACTTCGTGCAAATAGATTACATGTCCAATCGTTGTGATTACCGGTGTAGTTATCACTTACCTATTATGTCTTGTTGTTTAGTTGAGGTTTCATTGTGAAGTAATTGTTGGTACAAGTTTGGTTATAGCTGATTCCCTTGCCGGGACATATTTCATTCTTACTGTGGGTTCCCTTGCCGAGATGTGTTTATTCTTGTTGTTGACTCCCTTGCCGAGATATTGTTGTTTCCTTATTATTCCCTTGCCGGGATTCTTTGCGATTGGTGTTGATTTGTATATATTGGATCGGGTTGCCCGCAGCAACAAATATTATATGATTTGGATCGGGTTGCACACCGCAACAATATTATATGATTTGGATCGGGTTTTACGCCGCAACAATATTATATGATTTAGATCGGGTTGCACGCCGCAATAATATTATATGATTTGGATCGGGTTGCACGCCGCAACAGTATTATATGATTTGGATCGGGTTGCAGGCCACAACAGTATTATATGATTTGGATCGGGTTGCACGCCGCAACAGTATTATATGATTTGGATCGGGTTGCATGCCGCAACAGTATTATATGATTTGGATCGGGTTGCACGCCGCAACAGTACTATATGATTGGGATCGGGTTGCACACCGCAACAAGAAAGAATGAAAGTGAATATTGATTCTTATAGTGAGAACGAGAGTAAAAGCACGAAGGGTGATGTCGTGCACTTTCTGTTGCTGTGTTTATTTGTTGTTATCAATTCAAGTGTTTTAACTGTTTAATTTCCTTTATTGCTGTGATCCTTTGTGTTGGAACCTACAGTGTTTTCAATACTTCGTCGTATTTATATATATACATTCCAATACTTCAAACTTCAAAAATTGTTACATCTTTAATTCAATTAGTTTCTCAATTATATCCCCTTAAACCGTCTGAGGTCGTATTTTACTAAAAAAAGGAATTTCTACTAAGTTTTAAGTTATTAACTCCCATGTTAAAGGTAATAATCCAGTCGATGTTGTATTTTAATTGAAATGGGTACTTTCTTTAATCAAATGATTTCAAAAGAAACAATCTCATCTTTTCTCGCTGACTTTCCTAATTAGTTTAGAAATTATAATTTACTTATACTAGGTAAATGAGACTTCTTGAACATCTTGAGTGCATTTATATTATGTATAGTATAACATGTGGATTTTGTTGTTAAAAGTGATATGGAAAATATGGGGGCACAAGGTGCCATGTGTGCTGAAGGTTCGGAAGTTGGAATTATGATATGAGAAACCGAGGATTGAGATGGTCGGGATTGTGTATTAGACATGATGTGATTGATTGAGTTGGTATTTCCTTCTTTATTTGAATACATTCTTAGTTGTCTCTGTTCCTGTTATGTCAGTGTTGATTTACTTGGTTATCTGATTTACTTGGTTATCTGACTTACTTGGTTATCTGATTTACTTGGTTATCTGACTTACTTGGTTATCTGATTTACTTGGTTATCTGATTTACTTGATTATCTGATTTACTTGGATATCGT